CCCCGCCCCCGGCTCCGCCTGCTCTCGCTCGGCGCGAGCTCAGCGTCACAGGGCCGCCGCCGCCGGAGCACGGGGCGCAGCTCGTGCCTCGCAATCCTGCAGCAGTAGGGACACTGGTTATGTGGGAGACCCCGTCCAGTGGGCCATGCTAGCCTCCCACAGGCATCCATGGCCTGGCTGTTTCCTTCTACCTTGGCAAAGCTGATCCTGCCAAGAGAGCCTCAGTCAACTGAGCCTTTGGGGCTGTACAGCAGGCAGCCCAGCAGGGCCCAGCTAGCTGAGGTTCCTAGGATGCTGCAGCGTCAGGGCTAGCGGTGACACAGAAGATGAGGACTGCATAGTTGTTAAGGGCTGGAAGGGACCTTACAGATCATGGGGTCCAGCCCCCCTGCACTTGGGCAGGTAAGACTGCTGGGATCAGATGACCCCAGCAAGATGGGTGTCAAGATGCTTTCTGAAGATCACCAGGGTGGATGACTCCTGAATCTCCCTTGGCATCCCTTTTCACCCAGCTCGCTGAGCTGACCACGTTGCTTCTGAGCTTGTAAGCAGCGGTCTGCATTCTGCTACCTCCCCCCAGCTTCCCCAGGGCTGAGCTAGGTCTCCAGACTTTGTCCCTCCCTCCCAACTGCAGGAGATGAGGGCAATGGGGGAGGACAGGTAGGTGATGGTGCAGCTGTCTTGATACCCGAGAACTAGCAGCCAGTTAAGAGGTTTATTTTTAAGCACAGCTCTCCAAGGACACCTTCACCCTGCAGCATGTCAGACGTGGGTGGCACAGGGAGAACACCACCCAGATAACCCTACTCCAGCCCCTCACTCCCCCAGCCATTTTGATATTTTTTGTAGCAGGTCCACACTGTGACGCTTGGAGCTTGCTCCTCCTAGTCTTGATCATTACAACTCCTTAAATAGCAGTTTACAAAACCAAGCCACACTGTACACATCAAAGATCTACTTATCTCTTCTGCACTTTTTAAAAGGCCCTCTACAAATGCTGGCTAGCTGTAAACATACAGCACCTAGCACACTAGAACTGAAGGCCAGATTCACAGAGGTATTTAGGTGCCTAATAGACCATTGATTTCAGTTCCTAAACAGGAGTCAGACAACTAAGTACCTTTACAAACTGGGCCCTAACTGCAGTCTTCCTACAAACAACTCTCACAACCCACAGCTGGAGCCACTGTCATCGGTATTTTACAGAGGAGACAGAGATACAAAGCATAAATAACTGTCTAAAAGCCATGCAGCAAAGCAAAGTCAGGATCAGAACTCAGGCCCTTGGCTTGAGACCAGGTGCTGCCAGACATGAGCCTCCCCTGCACCACACACACCCTACTCATCCCCTCCCATCACACCACTTTGCCATACTGTTACCTTGCTCTCTCCTTTCTACCCAGCAGAGCTTAATAGGCCCAGCTGAGGGAGAGCCCCTTGCACCCACACCACATTCAGTCACACTGTTAGCAGCAAATCTCAGACATTTCCCCCTTAGGATTACAGCCCTCTAGCTCCTTTTCTGAGTTAAATGCATCAGACCCTCAGGAGCTCCCCCCTCTCATACAGGCCTCAATGATAAACCCTAGGAAAAGATGCCATCCTCTGCAGACTCCTTACCCCAAGTCACTTGCAATCATAGATCTACAGACGCACCAAACCACAGCCTACTGACCAGAAATACCTGACGATGCTGACAGCCAGAGCAAGGTGAGAAAGGACCTCAAGGGTTTATATCCTCTCATCCCAGGAGAGGGCAGGCAGGTTTGACTAACAGCTATCAATCAATGCCTTATTTACTATTCACCTAACAGCACAGCTTTACTGCAAACTGTGATTGCTCTGCAGCTCCAATCACCAACCTCGTTTTGCTATTACCACAGCCAGGGTGATTTCTAGGCTGAGATGAAAATGATCTTAGATTCAGGTGGGCACAGGGTTCTGATCACAGGCTGGAGAGGATGTTAATGAAAAGGGGCATCTCTCTTATTTGATAGATGTGCCTCTTTTCTGGTGCAATATCCAGCATGCATCTCACTGCTGAACACCTCACCCAGATTCACACAACTCCAGCCACACTGAGCTAGGGAAGATGTTGATGGACACAGGAGTAGTCCTGTGGGGGATGCGTGGGGGCGTCCATGGCTAGACATTCCTGGCATGGACAGTCCTGGTGCGTGGGTGCACAGGCTGTCCACAGAAGTAGCACGGAAGCCCTGCTTCTGTAGCAAGTAGAGTCTGGGACAGAGGCATGCACTCAGGATCTCTTTGGTTCCATATCAATCCATCAGCAAGCTGCTGTATTTGCATGGTAGGCAGACCCTTGCCTGGGCCGCACTTTGATACCAGCACAGAGGGCCCCCTCTCCCTCACCCCCAGCCCCCCTTACTGGATTGCTTACAAGGCCATTGGCAAAACAACTCCTAAATAGCTAAGGCCTAATGTTGCATATTTAATGTCATCATAACACAGCTCACATACAGCCCTGCAGGGCACACATGGGGCCCAGAGACACCAGCTTTTTCCATTGCAATGGTTCATTAGAAGCTCACAGTCTCCCCATAGGACTGACACTGTCTTGACAGCAGTCCTGGGGGAGAATGTGGAAGGGCGTAGGGTGTAACAAATGTCTCCAGCATCTCCAGCCCTGGCGTGTGCCATATTTTAACTGAGCTATTGGGGGTCCTTTTCCATTTCCCTCCAGGCCCCTAGGGCATGTTCAGGGGCTGGTTTTAAGGTTCTTCTCTGTACAGCTATGAGAACTAGAAGCTTATTTTTTTAAGGAAGCTGATATTCTCCCAGCATTAGCAGAGGTCATTGCGGGACCCCTGGCACGGCTTTATGAGCACGCATGGTGCTCTGGCGAGGTGCCAGAGGACTGGAAAAGGGCCAATGTGGTCCCCATTTTCAAAAAAGGGAGGAAGGAGGACCCAGGAAACTATAGGCCCATTAGTCTTACCTCGGTCCTGGGGTCACTGAGAAAATTATCCAGGAACACATCTGCGAGGGGCCAGCAGGGGAGATTATGCTTAGGGGCAACCAACATGGGTTCATTAGAGGCCGGTCCTGTCAGACCAACCTGGTGGCCTTCTACGACCAGGTCACAAAATCCTTGGATGCAGGTGTCGCAGTGGATGTAGTCTTTCTGGACTTTAGGAAGGCCTTCGACACTGTCTCTCACCCCATTCTCATTAAAAAATTAGGCGACTGTGGTGTTGATGGCTAAACGGTCAGATGGGTCACTAATTGGCTGAAGGGCCACACCCAGAGAGTGGTGGTAGATGGGTCATTTTCAACCTGGAGGGATGTGGGCAGTGGGGTTCCCCAGGGCTCGGTCCTCGGGCCTGCACTGTTCAACATCTTCATCAGTGACTTGGATGAGGGGGGGAAAAGTACCTTGTTAAAATTTGCAGATGACACTAAGATGTGGGGAGAAGTGAGCACGCTAGAAGAGAGGGACAGGCTGCAACTAGATCTGGACAGGTTACAGGGGTGGGCGGATAAGAACAGGAATGGATTCAGCACTGACAAGTGCAAGGTACTGCGCCTGGGGAGGAAGAACCAGCAGCATACCTACAGGCTGGGGAACTCCTTTCTCGTCAGCACAGAGGTAGAAAAGGATCTTGGAGTCATTATTGACCCAGACAGAGCTGCATGGGACTGAGCTGGGGCTGGTGTTAGGGGGACTCATCCCAGTTTAATCCCTAGAGTATATTGCTCTCAGGACACATCCCCATAGCAGGAAGGGGTGTGACTACAGCACAGATATGCATCCTCACACTAGCTTTCACCTAGGGGACAGAGATCCAGGGGACAGAGTAACACAGGGAAGAGTATGGGCTGTAGCTGCCTGCTACTGCCTTCCTTTGGTACTTAGTTGGGCAGTTGAAGCCCCTGCTACTGTGTCTTTGTTGCTGTTGGTGCCCGAGTCAGCTGAATTGAAGCAGGCCCTGGTCTGCCCATGCGTGCTGGGATCACACCTCGGGATCACAGTGCAAATGCAGCCAGGGGCCTGCTAACCTGCCCTCTGTCCAGGCCTTGTGCTCAAATGGTCCAGGTTCTTACCGCTAGGTGTCACTGCACCATGAGCCGACACCCTCCTGCCTGCTGTTCCAGTTCCTCCATCTCCACCCCTGGTTTTTGCCCCGGCTTCCTTTGGTACCTTTGGACCCAGGAAGTGTGGGCCTGCAATCAGCACAACACAGCACAGCGAACACTGAGACAGTTGGGATCCCTTCTTGCAGGTATCAGTCCCTGGCTGCTTTTCTTGCCAGCCCCCGGGGCTTGTGCTGGGGGTCCCTGCAGGATGGGCTGCCTGCCTGTTCCCACCCACATGCACCCCCCAGCTCAGAGGGACTTTGCTGGAGCTGCTTAGCTTGGCCTGAATGGAGAAGCTGCCAGACTGGTTCTGACCAGCAGGGCCACCCAGCCCAGCGCCCTGAAGACTGGCCAGATTCAGCTGTTTCCTGGGACAGCCTGCCTTACTCACGCCCAGGAGGGGCTTGTGCCCTGCATTAGCAGGGATCCCTGGCCAGCCACACATGATACCCTGCGGGGCAGCCTGGCAGGCTCTCAGTCCTGACCTGACAGGATCCAGTGGCAATGGATCCCCTGTGAATTGTGCCCTGTGTCCTTTGCCAGGATTAAGGCAGTGCCTTTGGCTGAGCACCTGGTGCCAGGGCACTCCCTCCCTCCCTGGCCTCTCCAGGAGTTTGTGTTCCTTTCTCCAATCTCCTCTACCTCAGACTCTCCAGCCCAGCAATGGCCCCTGCCCATGCACCCTGGACTGGTCCTCTGCCTTACCTCCCTATGCAATCCCCCCTCCACCCCATCCCCAACAAAAAGAGCACCCCACCATGCCTGCTGTCCCCTGTGGCCCCTGCCAGGGGAAGACAGCAGTCCTCAGTGCAACAAGGCAGCTGGGGTCTCCCCTCTTTAGTACTGTTATAGCCAGGGAGGGGGGTGAGGAGCAGGACTTGTTCTGTGGGACCCTTCATGGCACCGGCTGTGTAATTGCAGGAGATGTTGGACACACTCTGAGGCTGGGAGGAAGTAGAGACATCCCCAAAGAAATACCAGGCAGATTCCTTCTGTTTAGCTCATTATACAAGTGAGAGTTAAGGAAGGTGGCCGTACGCAGAGGCCTGTCTTCTACCCAGAGAAAGGAGCAGGGAAAGGGAGGAAGTTAACAGAGCACTTTGTTCCTTGATCAGCTGGAGTCTGTTCCAGAGGACACAGAAATCCGGTTCATGGTTATCCTGGCAGGAGCTGCCCCCAGAGGCCATTCCACAGGCTGAGGAATCTGGTCCACCTGCCCTTCCACCCAGGGCCATGCAGGGTCCCTCTGGGGATTCCTCCCTCCCCAGCTCTCCTCTCCTTGCAGGACACCCACCATGGCAGCCCCACAGCTGACCGAGAGCACCATCACAGTGGATGGGCAGACCCTGTTCTACCGGCAGGCTGTGCCAGGCCAGCAGGCCCCGAAACTGTCTGTCTTGCTGCTGCATGGCATTCGCTTCTCTTCTGAAACCTGGCTCAACCTGCAGACACTGGCAAAGTTGGCAGGAGCTGGGTACTGTGCTGTGGCCATCGACCTGCCAGGTATGTTGCCCTCAGGGAGGTGACACTGCTGCACATGGGCTTGGGGAGAGAAGCCATCTGGTGCCTGGGCATCACTAGGGCCTGGGGTGATGAGCAGAGCCTTGTGGGTGGGGTGGAAACTGCAGTGCAGAGCATGGCCAAGTGCCTCCTGCAGGGATCACCAACATCCCCCAGCCACACAGCACTCTGTGACAGAGGAGCGGGTGGGGAAGCTGGGGCATGGAGCAGTGAAGTGTCTTGACTGGGGACATTCAGTGAATCAGCAGCAGAACAGAGTCTGTAATGTAGGTGTGACTCCTGGTCCTTGCCTGGAAGCAGAACCCAGGCATCCTGGTCCCCTATTGGAGATGCTCTCACTCCTCCTTTCCAGAACTGCTGCCACTCAGAGCAGAGGAGTGACTCTCTAGGGCCCTGGCACAGCCTCTGCCTGCCCCTGCTAGGCACAGCACCACAGGGACCCTGCTGCCACTCTGCCCAGAGACATCAGTAACACAGCAGCTTCTTTCTCGTATGCTCCAGGCCTTGGCAATTCCAAGGATGCAGCAGCTCCGGCTCCCGTGGGGCAGCCGGCCCCAGGGGGGTTCCTGAAGTCTGTCTTCGAGGCCTTGCATCTGGGCCCAGCGGTGGTGATCAGCCCATCCCTCAGCGGGATGTACTCGCTCCCCTTCCTCTTCCAGCACAGCGACCTGCTGAAGGCCTACGTGCCGGTGGCACCCATTTGCACTGAGAAGTTCACAGCGGCGCAGTATGCCAGCATCAAAGTATGACACTTGGAGGGGAGGGAGGGGGCAGGGTCCTGGGTACAGGACCCAGGTGTCCGGCAGGGGCAGAGCCAGGCTCCAAGATCAGAATACCAGGCTCCAGGCCTCCGCTAAGGGAACATGCGCCAGAGGGCGCCACCCCCCCTCTTTATGTTCAGGGACACAGGACAGCTCCATTGAACATCTGAATAAGCCCCCAGGAAACCAGAGCCCACAGTGAGGCCCCGTAGGGCCATAATACACTGGGATAATCCTGTTTACATCCCTGCAGGGACACGGCTTGCCTCTGGGGGTCCCCTGCACAGGTCCAGCCTGCAGTTCAACCCTGTACTGGGGGCCATAGTCATATCGGGAAGGAAAGTGACTGCTGCTGGCCTGTTTCATTGCAGTTATTGTAACATGGACCCCTGACCGGCCCCAACCCTTGCAGCTGCCCTGTTTGCACTGCCCTAACATCCACCCTGCATCTGCACAGATACCTGAAGCTAACTTTGGCTCGGCCCCTATAATACATGCCCCCAGGTAGAGTTAGATTGTGGATGTGGAGGCAGTAGCTGTGTGCTTCACAACTGTGCCTTGCAATCAACAGCAGTGCCCCCCCCCCGGCTGAGCAGCTTGTTCCACCCTTAAACCCTCCCTTGCTGTGGGAACATTGATCTGCCCCCACTCCCCCATGCCCCTTTCCCCCCCCCCCCCCCCCTCTGCTCTCTGATCTGTCCCCCTTGCCTGAGAGAGGTGCCCTTCCCTCCCGTAAATGCAGAAGTGTTGCCCCAGAATAACATCGGTGCAAAGGCCAGCGGGGGCAGTCTGCAGTCCTGAATCAGGGGTGGGGTTCAGGGCTGGCGGCTGTAGGAGCTTGAGGTTACCGGCTCCTCAGCTGGGCTCCCCAGCCCTTGTGTGTAGCTCAGAGCTGTTGGGACATGTTTATGGCACAGGAAGGACACCCTGGCTCAGCACTCCCCCTGTTTGCAGAGTACTACTTTAGCCCACAAATGAGGGGGACTAGGTCCTGAGCTGCAAGGGGGGCGGATATATAAAGACACTTGCCTCCCCTCCCTTCCTGACCTGGGGCTGGCCAGCTACGAGCCATCCATGGGGTAGCACAAAGCAGCCTCTCAGGGCACTTCTGGCCCTTGGTCTCAGGGAGGACCCTCCTCTGCCTGCCCCACTGGGAGAGGCAGTCTGGTGCCAGAACTGCCCCACAGCCCTGCACCCATGTATATGGCCCCCCTGCACTAGCAGCAAGGCTGGTGCGTGGTAACTAGGGCAGCTGGCAAATGCAGATCGCATGACCCCTGCCCATGGAGGCCTTGTGGTGTTCACCCATTGCTGCACATGGACTCTGCCTCTCTTCCCCATCCAAGTCCTGACCCCTAGCTGGGCTCAGCAGTGCTCTGGGCAGAGGCAGGATCCCAGCCCCATTTTCCATCCAGCAGTGACCCATTTCCAGGAACTGCACCTCAAAAAGGCTCAACCCAACCAAACACCAAGGGAGATGGGGAAAGTCCCTCCCTGAGCTGCCAAGGCCTGGATCACCCCACTTCTTGGCAATCCACAAGTCATTACCTCATGTCTGATCCCATCCATTCTCTACCAGACTCCCACGCTGATCGTGTATGGGGACCAGGATGCCCAGCTGGGGGAAGTGAGTCTGAACAACCTGAAGAACCTGCCCAATCACAAGGTGCTGCTGATGCAAGGGGCAGGCCATGCCTGCTACCTGGACAAGCCAGAGGAGTGGCACCAGGGCCTGCTGGACTTCCTGAGGAGCCTGGAGTGAGGGGTGGCCATCCCCCTCCATCACTAGGGTTTGGGGCATGGATTCTGGGCACAATCTGGGTTTCTCTCTGCCACTAGAGCACCTACTTGATCATTATCTCACCGCGGGCTGGCTGAGGGCCATGGCACAGTGAGGGCAACCAGGGGCCCTACTGAGAGCCAGGGGCTCCATCTACTTCTTTCTCTTTAAAATGATTAGCAGCTGGCTGTCTGTAGGAGCTGATTGGGTGAGGGCCAGGCAGGCTGGCTTTCCAGCCATGTCCCTCTGTCCTTAGCTGGAGGTCCTTGGGCCCAGCACCCACTGCTGTGGCTCCGGTACCCTTGCCAGTCAACCTGGGGTGCTGGGACTGAGGTGACCCAGGGGAGCTCAGGGATCCATTTGTGGCTGGCTCCTAGCCTGTGGGCAGGGGGCAGGCTGAATGAACTGTGGGTGGGGGGAAGTGAGGAGCCTTTTTCATCCAGGTCAGGGGAAAAGGAGCTCCCTCTGCCCTGTGCTTCCTCCCTCCCCCACACTATCCCCTGCCCTCAGGTAGTGGTCTGCAAGGCAAGGGGAGCAGGCTGGAAACCCTAGGGCAGGCTCACAGGTTCGTAGCAGGGCACATGGACCTCCCTCCCAGAGCGTTCACAATCCAATAAAGACTGTGCTTGGGGCCTCTCTACCTTCCCATGCTTTCCTTCCTGCCATGTCCCCTGGCGTAGGCTATGCCCTATGGTCCCTCCTCCTTCCCCCATCTCAAATCCCCTGCAAAGCCTGTGGCCACCAGTCGGGCTGGCTTGTGGTGGGGGGAGGCAGGGGGGAAGAGGGAGGGCACAAGGGAGCAGGGCAGGAGGGAGCTGGTCAGTAGCAGGACAGTGCACTAGGTGGAAGGCAGCAGAGCTAGTGGTTAGAGCAAGGGGCTGGGAACCAGGGCTCCTGGGTTGTATTTCCTGAGCACAGCTGAAACCCTGCATGCCCAGGGCTCTGCATGTGGGAGCCCAGCACTAGAGACGGGCCTGGGGCCTTCAAGGAGCGGTGCAACCCAGTGCCTCACCCAGAGGGGCCTGGGTTGCTCTGTGCTGGAGCCTGGCAGCTCTAGCTGTCCCTTCCCCAGGGCTTGCCTGCCCCTGCGAGACAGAGCGGTATCCAGTCTGCTGGGGTTAAGAGGAAGAGGCAGCCCCTCCTTCCACTTTGCAGACAGCCGCTCTCAGGGCCTGGGGATTACCGAGTTAGTGGCCGAGGTGAACAGATGGAGGCCGGGCTAAAGCCGGCAGCCACATGGCTGCTGCGCAGGTCTGCCGCCAGCCAGGGCAGATGGAGGCTGCAGGCTGGTGCGGGAGGGGTGCTCTGGGCAGGCCTGAGGGGGTGGGAGGAGGTTCCCACACGCTGCTTTTATCCTCTTAGTCTGCAGGAGGATTTGCTCCCAGCTAAGGCAGCTTGACAGGAGGCCGGCTGCCCAGGGCGTCATAGCCTCTGTCTAGCCCTGGGCTACAGGGTCCCTGGGTGGTGGGGGACAGAAAGGCCCAACTGCCCTTGGGGATCTCTGTGCTGTGAGGGGGGGAGTTGGGATGGCCTCTCTCAGGTCTAGACCTGTCTGGCCACAGACCCCAGCCTGCTGCATTCTCCCCAGGAAGGACATCCATGGGGGTCCCCACGTGACCCCTGTGCCCCCTTCTCCAGGGCCACCCACCCATGGATACTGTGCAGGGCCCCTTCCCTACCCGCGCTGACCCCAGAACCCAGCTAGGACTTCCAGCAGCCCCCACCTGGGAAGTGCTGCACAGGCCCCGGGAATGGATGGGTACCAAAGCCTGGGGGAGGGCAGAGGCTGGGGGTGGGAAGGACCTCGCCAGGGGCCCCAGCAGCTCAGTGGGGGAGCTGGGAGCTAAGGTTCACTGCAAAGCGGGGCTCCCAGCAGCAAGTGCCAAGGGCTACGGTGCCCAGGGGCAGTGCCATGTGCCTCAGCCTTCCAAGGGCATCTGAAGCTCCTGTCACTGGGGATGATGGCAGGAAGTTGGAAACCCTCGCATACCCCCAGTTTGGGGGGCAGCAGCAACAGGCGCTGAGTCTCTCTTGTCCAAGCCCAGGCCCAGGCCCTTGGCTTGGCTAGCTCCCTGCATCCAGGCAGGAAGGCAGGCATCCTGCAGTCCTGTTCAGTGGAGGAAACACTCCTGGCTTGGCAGCATTTGGATGGGGTTGTCTGTGTGTAGGCAGACAGAGGTGTGGGCCCTGAGGGGGGCTGAGTTGCTGACTGATATGGAATTTTGGGCCCTTGTGGGGGCTGAAACCCACTTCCTAGGTGGGGAGGGCATTGGGCTGCAGAGGCAGCATAGCCCAGACCTGGTGGTGAGATGGCAGGGCAGGGGCAGAGCCCAGCCAAGAGGAAACTTGGCTTCAGGTATGGGTTCCCTCCAGGGGATGGAGGTGGCCCCCTCCTGTTCTCTGCCCCTCCTGTTAGATCAGGGTGCAGGAGGGTTTTTTTTGTGCTGCATAGCCAGCCCCAGCACCTGGCACAAAGGCTTGGCATGGCACAGGGTAGCACCAGGCGAGGACATGGTGATGGTACTGCGGCTGCACCTGGGAGCTGCAGGGGTGCGTGTCCCCTGGCTCAGGTACTTCTTGTGCCTACGGCACTTACTCTGTGCTCTGGCCCTGACTGGCTGTGCTGGCACATCCACCATACAGTAGTCCTACTGCCTGGCCAAGCTGTGTTCTGCACTGCTCCCCCAGGGGTGTCACATTCCCACTGCACCGCAGTCACTTGCTTGCGACAAGAGCCCAGAGAGTCCACCCCTGTTGTACACTGCTTACAAAAGCTCCACTCCCCGCCCGCCCTGCAGGCTTTAGATCCCCACCCTCACCTCTCCCAGGTTCTAGATTCACACCTAGCCCTGACTGCAGGTTCTTGCCTCCCTGCCCCTCCCTGTAGGCTCTAGACTCCCTCTAGGTTACAGACTCCCACCCCGGCCGCCCTGCAAGTTCTAGGTTCTCCTGCCTCCCCTCTTTCTGCAGGTCCTCACCTCCAGCACGCTTTACACCTTGTCCCTGCTCCATCCCACTTTGTACCTCCTACCAGGACATGTGCATCACCCACTGCTGCTAGGGCATACAGAGCTCTGCTCCCCTCCCAAGGCTCAGGCTTCCCATTGCTCTGCAGGGCATCTCTGTTCTACCAGCATACAGCGCCCAGTCCAGCAGCTTGGGGTCTCTGGGGGCTTCTGCAATGCACAAGCAACCCCTGAGCCATCCAAAAGGGCAGACACTCTGGACTCCCCCAGCTTCATCTGTCCAGCCACCCCCCAGAGCCCTGTTCTGAAGTCAGTTGCCTGGGGAGCAGGGTCAGCAGACTGGGCCACAGCAATGACTGCATGAAAGCTGCCCAGTGTTATGGGCTGAGCTGCCTGGACACCAGGTTCTCTGAGCTGAGGTATACCATAGCCCTCTGGGTGCCTGCACTGGGACACTGTCTGGCCCCAGCAAGACAAGTCCTCACTCCTGCCACATCCCTCCAGGAAGCATCACCCATGTGGTAGGGTTTCCCAAACCCCACCATGGTCTCCCCACCTTCACTTGCAGGGGAACCACCTGTAGGCCCTTCCCTTCCCCAGGTAGCACGGATACGACACAGTACACGACCATCCAGGCAGGTTGAGAACTCCCCACTATGTCATAGAGGTGCTCCTACCAGCTGTGACCACCTGCAGCACCAGATCCAGATGGGTGGAAGGCAGGGGCCTGTAACCGTGGCATGAAGAGATGGCTGGAGGAGTCTCTGGCAGGCTGAGAGTGGCTGCACCATGGCCACATGGTGTGGCAGCCCAGGGGTTGGCTGTGAGGGGCCAGGACCAAGGAAAGCCTGCAGAGCGTGTGGGTGACAGGTCAAGGCGGTGGCCTGCATACACTGGTTGGCTTGTAATTTAACTGGGCGCCCTACCCATTGGCAGCAATGGATGAAGCAGGGCCATTGCCTGCTGGTACCCATATGTGAGGAGGCCAGAGGACCCCAGCAAGTAGCAGGTGGAAGGAGAACTGCAAAGCATCCCAGCACTTCCTCCCCCACTCCACATCCCACACCACTCTCCCCCTCCATGCTCCTGTGTGGCACCCTGTCCCCGACAGCCAACTGCTACAGTGTCTGGCAGCTCCAATCATATCCCACTCCTCATGGCCTTCATGGGACTCCCAGCTTGGAGCCATGTGGACTTCTCTGCCAGAGGTAGAGAGTGCCATCCAGCCCCTCATCCACGATCGGCCTCTGTCCCAGCAGGACAGTTCCACGTGTGTGGAGCCCTTGTGTAGACAGGCTGCTGGTGCATCAGCCACCTGCTCCAAGTCACAGCGCCATGAGGAGGGGAGAGAGGAAAGGAGAGCCCTGCCGGTGCCAGCGACCCCATACCCAGGCTGCCAGCGGTGTCCTTGACGCCGGCCGCTGGGCTGGCCATGCCAGCTGATTGGTTTCCAGGAAAGAATGCAATTACAAAGGGTGAGCATATGTGAGCAGCGCGGAGGGGCGGGGGCCGTGGGGGTGGGGATGGAATGTCCCTGTCCTTGGCAGATGGTCTTACCCAGTGTGCATTGTTCCTTTTAGTGTCTCTTATCCGCTGTAATTGGATCGTGGGGGGAGGGATGGAGGCTGGGCGGGAGGGGGGAAGGGGAAGGGGGGGGGAATATTCCCAAGCCTCTGGCCCGCGCCTCGCCTGTCAAGCGTTTCATTGTTCCTGGCTGATGTCACTCCCAGTTGTTACAGACGCCTCGGTGGGTGACAATGTGGGACTAAGAGGCACAGCCGACCGGGAGGACAATCAGGCAAGGTAGGAGAAGAGGGGTAGCTGTGACTCCAACACACCTGGGGGTGCAGGGGCAGCAGGGTGAAGCTGTGGTGGGGGAGAGGGGACTCAGTGCAACTGACCCAGGGAGCAGAGGGATTGTCCTGGGCTGCGGGGGAGATGGGACTGTCAGTGTGAAGTCAGGGGGATCAGGGGATACCGTCCCCCAGAGCTGCTCTGGCCCCGTTCTGTGTGGCGCGCACAAGCAACTTTACTTTGCATCATCCCGCGCTGTCTGAGAGGGAGCCTGGCTCCAGCCCCATCCCTGGCTGCTCCATGACCTGCACCAGAGGGGAAAAAGAGCTGAAGTTTCTCTCTTGCTGGAGCCATGTGCTCCCATGGCAGAGAGTTGGGGAGCCCCTTGCGGGCTGAGAGGTTCCTAAAGCCACCTCAGTCCCTCTCTCAGCCTTGTCATACTTGGATGCCAGGTGCCCCAAGCCCAGGCACTGTATAGATTGGAGAGTTGATGCCCTGGGGCAGGGGGGTGGGTCAGGCAAGCTTTGCCTGGCACCCGGGGGGGACACTTATAGGCACTAGGAAGGGATTGAGCCCCCCAGAAAGCCACAGCCTGGTCCCCCCCTGCGCTGCATGCTGTGAATGGCTGCACACTGCCCAGGGCTCAGCCAGGGGCTATTTTAGTGTCTGAGCAAGGGAGGGGCTGGCAGCCAACACGGTGCCCAGGCGCGGAGTTGGCTCCCCACTCACACAGCCCTGCCAGTGCTGCTCAGTTCCTGCCGGCTGCAGCTCTGCCTGCTGCTCTCCTCCTGGCTCCCCATGTGTCTGAGCCCTGCTGATTTCACGTGTGGGCCCCATCGTCCCAGCCCCAGGGCACCTCCCACTAGCCAACCCCCAGC